GAGGGAAGGAATGATATCATCAAATATGTTGAGAGTGAGAGAAAGAGAAGTACATGAGTATTTATCTTGCTTTAGCTTCAATCACATGAACCTATGTCCAGTCTCCAAGCTTCACTTGATATTTTCTTCCTTAAATCCACTAAGATTAATTCAAGCTATTGGTTTCCATAATAAAATGCCAAATAGTAAGTGTGAATTACTCCCCCTTACAAAAGTAATGGTTAACACCACTTAAACTCCTAAAGCTTAAATTCTTTGTTCTCAAGTATGAAAAATAGGGATAAGCAAAGTAAGTTCACAAAGTAAACTATTTCAATGAAAACTCTCTCAAAAAGTTAATTTACAATCAATGAAGTGAAAAGATAATTAATGAAATCACAAAAGGTTGGTGAGCAATGAATAAGGTAGTTCGCACAATTAACTCTTATGAGTTTATTTATAGTTGAAGAAGTTAAAACATTCATTAAACTCATTAAGTTAGCCATTAGAGTGTTAATCTTCTTTCCTCTGAGTTTCCTCAGAAATGAGGGTGTTGCACAGTACATTATGGTAGAGTTTCTCGCTCACAACAAGAAAGGTAATAAATAGCTAAATGCATTTAATACTTTAACAAAAGGTAGGTGAAAGAAATACTGGTAAAGCAAACACAATATGGGTAATAAAGAATTAAAACACAATGAAATCTTACCCAAGATGTGCTTAGAATAATTTATGCTCAATAACAAGACTTATACAACTCTTAAAAGTTGATAGTGTGATGTCTTTAAGAAGCCAATAGCAAAATATTATTGTATAATAGAAATTAACTAATGGATAATTCATGTAACCTTGATGTATTAAATGCCATTAGATTATTTATGATATAAGGAAAGCAAAAAAATAGCAAGTAGGATTTTAGATTACATTTCACAATGCTCGAAGTATCCTTCTAGACCTCCTTCCTAAGAAACATGTTCCATCATACTAAATATTCTAAGGAACCTTTATTAATGCATTTACTTGTCATGGATGTGAAGCTGATACCATATACCTTTATTAGTCATTCAATAGATTATTCATGATTTATGGAAAACAAAATCATAAAAGCAAGGCTTTTTGAGCATTGTGCACAAAGCTTCATGACTCTAAAAACCTTCTTGGTAATAGCCATGACTCATGACCCTAACAAAAGATACATAGCTTTATGATTGCATTGACTTGTTAGGGCTACAAATGTAAATAAATCATAGATCAACCATTCACCATGCTAATATTTATAAACACTTTGAACTAATATTAAGTAATAAGTGATTAAAGGCTTTGTGTGTGTGTGTGTGTGTGCATATAATAAAGAAACATATGAGAAAATTGATTCTTTGTTGGTGGTAGTCAAAGAACAACTTAAATGTCACATAGGAGAGCAATGAGGTATCATTTTCTATAAATCCTAGTCTTGAATTATTTTACTCAACTACTTTATGTTCTTCCACCACAAAGCCTACTTTATTATTTTATCTAACCTTATTAATACTAGTCATTCATGATTAATATATTAACCAAGTTTGAACTTTGTTGGTTCAGTGAATAATGAAATAGGTCATTATGGTCCACATGATTCTTCAAGTCTAAGTTGCAGCAATAGTATAAATTGCTATTGGAAATGTTCCTACAATATTTTCTTCTTTTATTCCATCACATAGCTTTCTTTATTAATTTCTCTAACGGTATTAATACCACTACTTCTAGTATATTGCAATTATTAAGTTTGAAGTCTTGTTGTTTAAAACGAAGAATAGAACATGATGATAGTTCTAAGTTGCAACAATATAAGATAGTGTTGTTGAAAGTGTTTTTCTTTCTGATCTCATAATGATACCTTTTCCATGCCATCAAATTGTTCATTAGATAAGATTAACATGTCATTAGATAGTGTTGTTGAATAGCCTTAATTACGATTTTCAATTTCATAAAAAATTAGCAAAGAGTGTTTGTGAAATTTCCAGAGGTTCTGAAGCTTTAAGAAAATGATAATTAAAAACACTTTACTGGTTACATCATCAAAAAGAACTTCAAACGGGAGAACATTTTCCCTAAAAGCACTTGTTAAACTCGTAGTACCCTACCAAACACAACTATAAATTCAAAAAAAAAAAAACCCTAGCTACAAATGCTTCAATACTCATCCCAAAAGTAAAAGAATAGCCTAAATATACTTCTCATACATTGGTGACATTTTCAAAGACTGATCTCATGAAGGGAGTGATCTCATCAACCTCTGAATCAAACCAAACTTCTATTGCATTAGAAAACTTGAGAAAAATGCACCTACAAGTTCATAGAAAAAATCAAAAAAAATGAGGGATATGGAAACCATTGTAAACATTAATCAATATGTGTCATAGTCAATTTAGCTACTATCACCTCTAGGTCCATCAATGCATATTGAATTAACACCATTTAAGGAATTTTGTTAACACATATATTATAATGTAGCTATGGTTGTGCAAGTTCACCTTAAAGAACACAAGAGATTGCATTCCCACTGGAGAAAATGATTGAACATAATCAGTGATAATATGATGTGGAATAAGGCAAAACGATGGAAGCTAAATCAACTAAACTGAGCATCTTCAATGACCAAAGCCAACTAGACAATGTGTACATGCTGTATTTTAACTCACTTGAGAGACACAATATCATTGAGGATACCATACACATTTGGACCATAGAAATTCCTTTTTAGTGACCATGGTACTCAAAATATGATCATGCCAACAAAACACGAGAAGGACCCTTACCTAAAGCCAGATATAAATATAATCACGCTTTTGTCAAATCTAACAAATAGTTGAAGTCTCCAAATGAATTTTCGCTAGATATAAACTGAAAACCAAACATACACTAAGTTCACTAGCAAGCACCCAGAAGCCCTCTTTGTAGTGCTACTTATCTTTTGTTCAACAAGATATCTCATTGGCAGGTTGGATTAAACAAAATGTGGGAGATAAATGTGAGATTAAGTATGTGTCAGCTAAGGAGTTAAGAGAATTAAGTATGCATTAGTAAAATTAACTTTGTCATTGTCAACTCATGATCCTTGTGTAGATTTTTAAAACTATAAGGACTAAAGTTGCTAGCAAATCAAATTAAAGGGACTTGGAATAATTAAATTAAATTATAGAGAGTAAAAAAAATCAATTAAAATATAAGGACTTACTGTTACATTTTCTCTAAAATCTATTTTGATAATAGAATCTCACTTTCTTACTTACTATAGCCTTTGACTTTGATAGATATGTAGTTGAGAAGATTGTGTATACTTTGAAAAATCCCAGAGTTCCTCTCTTTCCATGAACCATATGCCATTGCAGCTAGTACAGCAAACAGAACTTTCCTTCTAATTTTATTGTGCTCAAAACAGTGAAACAATGCTTGTTCCTATCTTGTGTCTTCTACTTACTTCTTTCGAATCAATTCAAGCCGTACCATATTTAAAATTTTCTAAACTAGTCACAATATTAAAAAAGAAAACAAATAATTCACTGATTCATTGTCAATATTACAAAGCACGCACTTGACAGATTATGTACTTTTCTTATGTGCAAATGTCAATTTTACTCAACGTTTAGTTGTCTTTTTTGGAATTTCCAATTATGTAATTGCCATTCTCTACTTTTCATATGTGCAAAATTTACTTAGTTGCGTTTCAATACATGAAGATTTTAATTTAAATTTGGATTTAAACTAAATCTTCTATTTAAATATATAGAAGTCTATGGATTTGGATTTTATCCAAATTCCAATCTATATTTTATTATAACTTCTTTCCAATTTTAAATTTCCTCAAAATTCTAGTTATTTAAAATTTTAATTATTCTAACCTTCTCCTTTTTTTTTCATTTTTTACTACCAATGTCTCTGTTACTCTTGCCTGTCCTCTCATCTCTCATTCTTGTCTTTGACTAATTGAAAAATAAAAATAAGCTCGCCAATCATTTATTTGATTAGTCTACTTTAAATCTCAAATCGTCTTTACTTTTAGAATTGTTTACACCATTTAAATGAAGGATTTTAAATACATAAATTTTAAATCTAAAATAATCCAAATGCAGCCTACTTTTATATTTGGCTTTTCCCCTTAATAAATTGACAAGCAACCACCGCTAAGATGAGAAGTTTCAAGTTGTAAAGACTCACATTTTGCATATTGAACCATGTTGATAAGTTCTCTTTCATAAATTGACAGCTAAATTTTACTAAAATTACAAGTTCACTTACCATTTTGACAAGTATAATTTAAGTTATACACATTATACACATTGAACCTTCTTAATAAATTCTTTACTCTCTTTTTTTTTTGGGTAAATTAATAAGTAAACATTGCTAAAATGACAAATTGACTTCAACTTTTAAGAAGTAAATAATTTGGAAATTAAAAACTAAGTTTATAACCTATACATATTTTGCCTAATTTATTCTTGTCGAATTGGTAGCTTAGAGAATGGATTTTCTTTTTTTCTTTTTTCTTTTGTTTTTTTTTTTTCAGTGAGCTCCAACGGCCACCGTTGATGGCACAACGATGGTAGTGGAAATTTTTTTCTTCTTCCTCTGTATTAAGCAAGCATAAGAAATTTTAGTAATTAACCAACAAATTTTAATTCCTTTCCTGATATTTCATAATCTTCTAGTATCTTTACGCAAATTTCTTGCTTGCAAGATCCTTAAATGATATTTTTCCTTTCTTTTAGAGGTTAAAATTCATTTTTATCCTTGAACTAATTTCTTAAAAACATCCTGCATCTTGAACTTTTTGTTACAGCAATGTCACATTTGAAATAATTAAATCATAACAATATTTCCCTTAACATTAAATAAACAAGTGTTGACAATTAACTTTACTAACTCAAAAATAAGTTTGACTTGAATTGTAACAATATCGCCCATGATCTTTCATCAGCTACCACCACTAGATGAATGTTGTTTTTGGAGGAGATATCCCCGAAATCAAATTGCATGCAATGTAGCTTCAAAGAAATATTTTTCCTATTTACTTTCCAAAATTGAAAAGAAAAATAGTTGGAAATTAAATTAGAAACTACTGCACCGGTGATTCTGACAAAATTTCACGAGCAAAGGAGACAGCGACAGATAGACAAACAAGTACACTTTGTGCAAAGTGGATGAATGGTCTTAAGGTCATAGAGTTACAAAACCCAATTTAGTTTTCAGCCTGTCCAAAATACCTGCCTGAAATTGCAGCTAGAATATTCAACATGGCGACTTCGTCATCGTGCTCGGTCTTCATAGCTCGTAAGCTAGCACACTTACGTAGCAGACTCCTTAAAGCAGCACAAGAGTCAGCATCCAGGGGAGCATCAACTGTTGCACAGAGAGAGAATAGCCACATGCAATCATTTCTTGTGATGACGCTCATGGGCTCCAGCGCGCGAATCCGTTTATGCAACATCGACACTCGGGCTACAGAGTCCATTCCTAAAATTGTAGAGAGCAAAGGACAGCTGCTGGAAACATCGATATTTTCTGAAGTCAATGCAGGTTGATCAGTAGGCTCCCTGATGCTCTCATGACTATGATGCTTGGGTTCCCCAGTCATTACAACACTACTTATGCCAAACTTGTTCGCAGTTAGCCCTAGGGAGTTCACAGGTTTCACCCTTGAAACATCAAGCTGTGAGAGTTTCTGGCATCACGAGTTCGTAAACAGTTAAATAAATAGGGTTAGTTCTTTCATGAACTGAAACATTATATTTCAACCAACTAGCAGTGACAACATGTTGAATTCTTTGTTTGAAGAAAATCAAATTCCCAGTAACAAAATTATCAAACATATTACTCATGGAAGAGGTAAAAAGAAGACAACATATTCAAACCAGATTTGTCACTAGAAGTTGTGATGCATTGTCTTTGTTTTGAAGCAAATAAGTGTCTGAAAGATGTAAAGGCACAGGGAATCTCGTAACTTTTTTATCCATAGTAATCACACAGTCAGTCCATCCAACTTTTTTTTTTCCCCATCAAGTTGAAACTAAATGGACCTAGTTTTTCCTCCTTTTGTCCTTCATGATTTTCAATATGGTAAACTGTGAATACATATTTGAAACACACGCACACATTAAAGTTGTATTAAACCAAAAAAAAAAACAAGAAGAAGAAGAAGAAGTTATTCAAGAAGACAATAGCATACCTCTCTGAGCTCCAAAAATTCAGCAAGAAATGCATTCTCCCACTGCTTTAATGGCAAGAGTTTCTCGGGACATTTGGCAACATCAGGAATCTTGGGCATGTAAGCACTTTGTTCCTTGTTAAGTTTACTTCTATCAAGTTTGGCTACCTTCACTTTAGGAATTTGAGCAGCTTCCCATCTAAGCAGGAAGGAAGGATCCGTTTACAAGACTACTTTTATTCCATCCTCTTAACTAGTACGGTTAATCATATGGTAAACTACTCCAAAAGTAATATCATTAAAGTACAAAATATAGTAAATAGTTAATCATGCAGAGAAAAATGAAACCAGAGTAGCAGCCCGTATAGAGTAATATGCATTAATTAGGAAATAAAACAGTACGACAATAACATAAACCTTAGAACTTTCAGAACCTAGAATTCTCCATCAAAAGTCCCTGCAAAGTTTTTCCATATAACCTCTCTCCTTTGGCTAAACTCTTCCCAGAATCTTCCTGTCTTTCCCTTCCAGCCAACCATGCAAAGCAGTGTGAGCTTGGTCAGTTGAGTTAATTTGCTGTTCTACTCTCACCTCCATGTTCTACCTCTAAATTGTTTTTTGAGTGTTAACATAAATTTTTGCATCAAAAGCTTCCCCAGGAGAGTTAGGAGCACCATAAAGAAAATTGTGGAGCAATGTTGCACATAATGTTTCAAAATCAGTGCAATGCTGCCCTTTTCAAAATCGTTTAGGCTAGAAGGCTTTTTTTTTTGACTCAACATTGACTTAAAGTTGACCGTTAAAAAAAAGGCAACATTACACCTATTTTAAAACATTACATGCCACACTACTCCACAACTTTCTTTATGGTGCCCACAGCTCTTTCAGAAATATTTCTAGGAAAAAAATATACTTTAACCCCCTTTCTTAATCCAACATGTCCACTTTCTTCTAACATACAACTTGACATTATTGAGCTGAACTTGATTGCCCTCAATAGGTCCATCACTTAATCTCAAAATCATAGCTACCCCTAATCACCTGTTGCTAAAAATTACACCTCAACTGCAGCACAATGAGTTGATGGGTGCATGGATAGTTATTAAAAAATGTTTAATACATAGCTAGGCATGTATAGGGGCTGCGTTGGGGCACCGGTGCTGTTATGATTTATTTTATTATTATTTTATTATTTCTTGTTATTACCTGATATCTTGGGTTACATTAAATGTTAAATCTTTGATATATCTTAGAAGATATTAGATTTAGTAAAAGGATATTTTCAGGTCCTAGGGTTACGGTTATGTGGCTGCTTATATTAAGCCCTAACGTACCCATTATGTTTTATCAAAAAACAACTGCAGAGGCCACTTTACCTCTGTTTCCTACATAGTATCAAAGCTAGGGCAGGCACCAGTGACATGAAGTTACAAGGTAGCCTCACATGCCCCTCGGGGATGCCTTTTGCATATCCATTTAACATGACTAGATATCCTAAGACTCAAACTCAAGACCCCACAAGGATAAGCTGATTCAATTCCCTTGACCAATTGAACCCAGTGACCCTCAATTTTTCTATGTTGTATGCCTCTCCCTTCAGTCTGGGTGGATCAGGTTTATTCTCCCTATCAATAGTTGACCCTCCCTCTCTTCCAATCACCAACCACAAATTCAGTGGCAACAATATATGCAATGGTCCCAAGGAGTCCTCATGTGCGTGGTTGGCAAGGGAAAGGAAAATTACCTCACTGGTGTGGCAGCTGAACCTTCCATGCTTGATCCCAAGCATAAGGTATGGCATGCTGGAAGCAACATGGTCAAGTCATGGCTTTTCAACTCGATGAACCCGGATATTGGCTAGCCTTTTCTTCTTTCTCCTACTACTAAGAACGTCTGGGATGCTGTCTAGAAGTGTTATTCTGCTCGTGAAAATACTGCTGCTATTTTTTAGATTGAAGGGTTCATTCACGAGCTTCACCAAGGTGATTTGGATATCACTTGATATTATGATACATTTGTGATGCACTGGCAGCAGCTTGATCTTTATGATAATCATCACTGGTGACGTGGTGAAGATGCTGAAACTTATCGCAAAATTGTTGAAAAGGATCATATTTACACTCTTCTTAGTGTTGACCTTAAATATGATGATGTCGGTGGCAGAATCATGTTTACGTGTCATATTCCTACATTAGATGACGTCTTTGCAGAACTAAAATGGGAGGAGAGTAGGAAACAACTTGTTTCCAAGTACATTCAGCTTTAACAACCCCTGTCCGGAGCTTCTGCTATGATATCAAAAGGACCATCTGAAAGGGCTGTAAAGGCTATAGAACAACCTGTGAACATTGCAAGGTCAGCCATGTTAAACAAAAGTGCTGGAAATTGCATCGTAAACCTGCAGACTTCAAAAATAAACAGCTTGTTCCTAGAGGGTTATTGGCTTTGGATGAAGGTGATTTGCTCCAGAGGAATGATAGTGATCTGACAAATGGTGAGTTATTGAGTATTCTTCAACAGATGTTTTTGTCTCAAACTACAAAGCGGTGGTGGCCCAACCATTAGCTCTTGTAGTACAGCTCACCAAGGTAACAACCCTCGTCCAGATTCTTGGATTGTTGATTATAGGGCCACTTATCACATGACAAGTAATATTTCTCCTTTCTGATTTTTCTTATTGCTCTTCGCATTCCTCTGTGAACATTGCTGATGGTGCCAAAGCCAAAATAGTGGGTATTGGCAAGGTCAAATTGAATGCAGACTTGTTCCCCGATCATGTCTTATTCATTCCATCTTGGGATTGTAATTTAATTTCTGCGAGCAAACTCACCAAAGCCTTGAATTGCAGCACTAATTTTGACCAACATGGTTGCTTTTTTAGAGTTTGGAGATGAGGAAGAGGATTGGCAATGCAAAGAGTACAATGGTCTCAACTGGTTTAATAGTCCTAGAAATTTTTGTTGCTATTTCTTTTGTTCCAAATAAAGATGATCATTTATGGTATTTTAGGTTAGGTCATCCAAGTTTCTCTTACATGCACAAGATGTATCCTCATTTGAGTAGTAAAATTTCAGATTCTATTCAATGTGACATCTGTCAACTTTCAAAACGCACCAAGGCATCCTACCCATCTCATTCTTATAAACCATCTCACCCTTTTGCACTCATTCATAGTGATGTATGGGAACCATCTAGTGTCAAAAAAAATTATATAAATGATACTTGGTGGTTTGTCACTTTCATTGATAATCACACTAGAGTTGCCTGGGTTAACTTAAAAGACAAATTTGAGGTGCCTCACATTTTCAAACCTTTCACTCATTAAAAACCAATTCCAAAGTAGCATTCAAATTTTGCATAGTGACAATGGGAGATAATTTGTCAATTCCACAATGAACTCTTTCCTATCCCGACAAGGCACAATTCACCAAGCCTCACTAAATTTTTAGCTGCACTTTCTTTGTTCATCATGAAGCCTAAGAAATTAGAGTCCCAGTCACACAAATGTATCTTTATTGGGTCCTCTAGCTTCCAAAAGGGGTATAAATGCTACTGTCCTTCTACCAAAAGGCCGGATGTATCCTTCAACGTGACCATAAAATGTTCCCTTTTATTCATGGGGAGAGCTTATCACAGGAATGGCTGCCTAGAACCCAAGAAAATGCTGTAACCTCACCTATGGTACCTATGATTCCATTTTTAACTGAAACAGAACCTGCATCAATGCCTAAACAGCCTGTCAGCCAAAATAGAGCCTGATACAAAACCTGAACAGCATGAACAACCTATTTTTACTTCTGAAATACCTGAACCTGAACTAAAAACACCTACACCAGAACCTGTTATGTGAAACTCAAGCCAAATCTCACCAAAGTGTCATTCAGCAACAGCAACTACTTACCTATAGTAGAAAGGGCAAATTTGGGTAAAAGAAAAAAACTAAATCATGAACAGGATCTACAAACCAGTGGAGACACCCACTTGAGGCAAGGCTTGTTTAATTCTCCTACTCCAAATATTGAAACTGACAAGAAAGACAATGAGTTGCCAAAAGCTATCAGAAAAGGAGTAAGGCAGTGTACTGTGCATCATTCCATACAGGAGGAAGCTACTAGTAAGTTGCGCCACGTGTGCAGGAGGAAGAAGACTAAACTAATACTGCACAGCCACCTGGCTAGGGCCAAGAGGGCACAAAACATGATGCCAGCCCAAGGGGAGAGGGTCTGATTTAGTTTTCCAGGGTTGTGTGCCCTAGGGAGAGGCAGATTGGATGTTGGGAGTTTTGGGAGAGCCTCTGACCTCTCAAAAGTCAGGGAAGTGTCTTTTCTCTTGCCTTAGTTACTGTTCATCTTATTTTGCTGCATCGTATTAGGTTCAGCTAGTCCATTTTGTATTGGAACTCTTCTTCCTACTCTCAATGAAGGGGACTTCTAGTAGTTTATCCTTAGTACCAGAATATATCAGTTTGAGTTCCATCATTGGCATTAGAGCTAGGTTGACCTACGGGCATGGTAAATACCAAAATGGAAGCCAGAGTAGAGAACATGGAATTTACAAAGGCCTAATGTTGAAGCCAAAGAGGAGAGAGCTGCTATGCAATGAACGATAGCACAACTACAAGATCAAAATACTCGAATACTGGCATTGTTGGAGACTCAGCCAAACAATGATGATAGGGGTATGCACGGTGAAGGCCTCCATGATGAAACAGGAGAAGGTTGAGATGGCATGAGAAATCTAGAAAACGATGAGAGAGATGGTCAAAAATATAGGAACCTGGAGATGCCTACGTTCGACAGAGAGGACCCAATAGGATGTACTTTTAGAATGGAGAGATATTTCACAATGAATGGCATGCCTGAACCGAAGAAGCTTGATGCAGCAATGGTAAGTCTTGAAGGACAAGCTATGAATTGGTTCCAATGGATGGAGATGTGAGCACCGATAGCGAATTCGAGTGAGCTCAAGGCAGCCATGATTCAGCGTTTTCATTGTAATCAAAACAGGGATAATCACGAGAAAATCACAGCATTTAAGCAAATAGGGACTGTGACAGACTATAGAGAGCAATTTGAGCTTTTATCAGCAACTTTACAAAATGTCCTCAAGGAGTCACTAATTGGGATGTTTTTAAATGGGCTTCAGGATGAGATTAAGGCTGATGTGAGGTTAATGAAGCCCAAAACCTTGAAAGAGCTT